AAAAAAAAAAAGAAGAAAAGGGGGGGAAGTCAGAATGATTCTCTTGTCCCTGCCTTTTTTAAAGTGCCCTTACCCCCAAATCATCCATCCCAAAGTGGCATGTTGTGAGTACCATGGCTTTTTTTTTTTCTTTTTTGCAGGCATGATGGTGATGCGACTGAGTGGTCTGATTGAGTTCCCACCTCCTTCTACGTATACTTGGAGTTTAGGAGAAAAGACGCAAGAAAAGGTAGAAGAGCAACTCTGAGATAACTGAGTCTTTCCAAAATTGAATAAAAGACAGAAATTTGAAATTTGGGGAACACAACAAATTCTAAGCAGGCTTAATAAAAAGCAGCCTACATCTAGTCACAGTGTAGTCAAAACCCAAGGCATGGGGCAACTGAAGATGGAGACTAATTATATCGCTTTCCTGCTGACAAGCCCGGGATGGCTTTGCTTTGCCCAGTTAAAACTAGGGTGGTCCCCAAATTTACATTCAGAGATCATAGTCTATTTTCAAGAAAAGAAGAATGGAATAAGATAATAAGAAGAAATTTCTACACTCAATGGCAATATGATGCATTTGGCATGAGTAAACTACTTTTGGTATTTGAGCTTTACAAGGGCATTGAACACATTTCCTGTTCCAGGGGGCCTCCGCCCTCCTCCTGTGCCACGTGACCCTGGCATCTCAGGGGGCAGCGGGCAGGCAGTCATGGATAAGGGGGTGCAGTCTGCTGAGCCAAGTCAGCAGTTTGGAAAGGACTCAATTCGGCTGGTTAAAAGACGTACCAAACCTGATCGAGAAAAATTCCCCAAGATTGCCACGGCAACAGCAACAGGATTGGCTATACTGGGATTCACTGGCTTCTTTGTAAAATTGATCCATATCCCTACTAACATCACCGTCGGTGACTGAGTTTGTTTTGAGGAGTGTTTGTCATCTTAGGGACTGGTGAACAGTGAGGGTTTGAGAAACTGCTGGAGTAAAACCTTACCCATATCTTTCGTCATGTTTTTCTTCCAAGATGTTTTCTATTTCTTTTTCTTTTTTTTTTTTGAGACAGAGCCTTAAGCTGTCACCCTTGGTAGAGTACCATGGCATCATAGCTCACAGCAACATTCAACTCCTGGGCTTAAGCGATTCACTTGCCTCAGCTTCCCAAGTAGCTGGGACTACAGGCGCCCACCACAACACCCAGCTATTCTTTGGTTGCAGTGGTCATTGTTATTTGGCCGGCCCAGGCTGGATTCAAACTCACCAGCTCAGGTGTATGTGGCTGACACCTTAGCCGCTTGAGCCATAGGTGCCAAGCCTGTTTTCTATTTCATAATTAAAATAATTTCAAAGTATAGCTGGGTGTTGTGGCAGG